GTATACTAAGTATGTAGGTATATGTATATTTCTGTTTACTATGAAGATGTAAACAACTTTACAAAAATGCTTAGTTATAGGTATTTTCATGGTGTCTAAATACTTTTGCATGCTGCGAAATAAAATTAAGTTCTCTTTATAATATTAGAGAAGTCTTAAGACTATTTTCATACTTTCGAATACTACCATTCTAGCCTCTGCCCCTCCCAAGAAATAAAAATTCATTTTACATTTATTGGAAAGTGAATTGCTCTACACTCTATCAAGGTAGCAAGTATAAAAAAAAAAATCAAGGTTTGTGACTGTGATCAAATAAGAATGTGTTTAATCAGTGATTCTTGAATAACACTGATTCTTGAATAAATTGCTGATTATAATTTATATAAAGATTGCTTGCTGAGGCTCATAATCAGAATATTGTGAAATTATGTGAATATTTTTGGCTTTCCAGGACCATGCCTCAGACATTTGTAAATGGCACAAATATATAAGTCATCCTTTAATTAGAAGCTTCATCATATATGTGTGTGTGTGTTTGTGTGTGTGTATAATCTAGTTAAATAACTAAAGACCTGTTACCATTTTTCTTTCAGTTGAATTCGAAAACCTAATAAGTATTTATTGAAATCCATTATCAATTTTTAAAAATTGACAAAGAAATTGCCTAAAAAATGAGGTCAAAACTGGTGTAAATTATAACTTTTACTGCAATAGCCTTGAGACTTGGACTTCATTCTGTAACATTTCAGAGTTTCTAGCCAGTTTCACACAATCTGTTTGTGAGAGATAAGATTTCAAGGAGGACAGCCCTCAGGCTTGTGACTTCATTGGTATGGTGACCTTGAAATGGTTGGCCAAGCTTCCTCCTATTGATTATGTATCATTGATGAAGGATTTTAACCAACCCCTCTAAATATTCTCTTGCAGTCAAATCATGGTGCAATGTAAGAATGAGTGAGAGAGGGAGATGGAGAGAAAGAGATAAAATATAAATGAATATGAATGTAAATATAAATAAGTGTTATGTTTAAAAAGTTTCAGACTCTGGGATTGAATACATTCAAATAAAAATGTATTTCTGGGAGATTTATTATTTATGCATACCATACCACCACACATACCATAATTTTTGGAGTATAATTTCTAGTTTGGGGGCCAATGATACTAAAAGTAGTTGGTATTGGAAAAAAATATTTAATGCCAATTGGCACAAGATATATTTTAATTCCATGCAATTTGGCCTTTACTATTTTGCTATTTTTTATGTGACAAATTAGAGGTACTATACAAGATTTAATTGAACTATGACCAGTATTAAATTATGTAGCTCTAGAGGGCAAAAGATTTGTAGCTCTTATATGAACCTACAAAAATTTTAATTGTTTAATGATAATTGTTATTGTGCAATCTTAGCTTCAATTATTGCAAACATTGTTTTAATTGCCTATGAAGTTTTATTTTTAGCATATTTTACACTCAAGAGGATTTGCATATTCATTATTTGTAAACTCCTATTATGAGAAACCAGATTATGGGTGTATTAGTAAATCATTTTCATAACCAATTGCTTCAGTCTTATCACAAATAAAATATAAATGATTTTTATATGGCCTACAATATGTTTTAAAAATGTTCTGTGGCTTTTTCTTAGGGTCATTTATTTATTCATTAGTTAAATAAATATATGTTTAGCACCTATATTATACTATGATTTTTTTTCTTGGGAATGGGGGAAACAGCCATGAAAAAAACAAAGAGTAATCATCCCATTCATGGATTTTCCATTTTAGTCAGGAAATGAAATATATAAGAAATAAATGGGAAATATATTTTGTATTCAGGGGTGATATTTGAAAACAAGAAAATGTAAAACTGAAATAGAGAGTGCCAGAGGTAAGCATGAGATGGTGAAGTTTAGAACAGTATCCTTAGCCTGTCTCCATTAAAAGCACATTAACTGATCAGAAAAGCCAGGGGGTGGGTGAAGAAGCTTGTGTTTATTGGAAGAAATTCTAAATGCAAAGACCTGCCAGAGTAAACCTGGTTTGCATGAGGAAGATCAAGGTAAGGATTTTAATGTTTTCTTCACTGGGAATGGAATCTCATGGAAGGATTTCAAAGGAGAAGAGACATGGTCTGATGGACACTAAAGATAGTAAGGGGGCCAAGGGCAAAGACAAGGTAGCAAATTCAGAAGTAATTGCTATAATCTAGAAATAGATGTTTCTCTGCGATAGAGCTGGGGGTAGTATGGAAGTGGTGAGATGTGGTAAGATTTTGAATGCATTTTGCACATAAGTAAGAATTTGCTGATGAAAAAATATGTTTTGTGAGAGAGGTTATGAGTCATGGAGGACTCCAAATTTCTTGCCTGAACTAGAAGGATAGGGTTGTCGTTAGCTGAACATTAGATAGGAAATGCTGCTTGAAGAGAAATTTGAGGAGAAAGAAATTAGAAGTTTACATTGAACTTGATTTCTTTTGAGGTGCTTTTAGCCATCTGAGTGTTTGTGTCCAGGATAGCTGAGCTAGAATCCAACAAAAGGTCTGAGCCTCGGTTACAATTTTAGAGTCATTAGCATCCAGGAAAAACTTTAGAGGCACAAGGCAGCGTGATACTAATAAGATTGTGAGTGGGTAAAGAAGGAAAGAGAATCAAGGACTGATCTCTGGAGCAATCTGATGTTGAGGAACTGAGGGAAAACCAGCAAGGGAGACTGAGTAAAAATAACTAGTAATATAAAAGGAAAAACTAGGAAAAAAAAGTATGTGCTGGTACTCAGAGACAAAAATATTTCAAAAAGGAAGGAGTAATCAAGTATAATCCAGATAGTACTGATAAATACGTAGATTGAAGAGAAAAAAATTAATATTAGATAGAGCAATATGGAGGTTGACCTTGATTATGCATAGTTTCAGTGGAGTGGTAAAGGGAAAAATTATAATAATAAAAATGAATTAAATACTAATCCAGGTTGTAGCATGGATGACTTTGAACACATTATGCTGAGAAAAAAAAATGGTAGACCTGAAATCCACTTAGTATGTGTTTCCATTTATGTGAAATGTCCAGAGTAGACAAATCCATAGTGACAAAAATAAGATTCGTAATTTTCAGGGTCTGAAAGAGAGGAGAGAATGAAGAATGTGTTAATCAACTTTTTGTCACTTTTAACAAAATACCTTAGAAAACCAACTTAAGGGTGAAAAGAATTATACTGGCTTAGGGTTTTAGAGGTTTTAGTCCATGATTGGTTGGCTCCATTGCTATAGGTCTGAGATAAGGCCAAGCATAATGGAGGGGAACTATGTTGGTGGCCACGAAGAGAGAAAGAGCAAGAAAGGGAGCAGGGATAAGTGTAGTCCTCAAGGGCACCCCCAAAGGGCCCACTCCTTTTAACTATGTATCACCCCCTAAAGTTTTGACCACCTCCCAGTGGTCCACCTAGCTGTGAATCCACTAATGAATTCATCCATTGATGAGGTTAGAGCCCCTATGATCCAAACTCTTCCCCAAAGCCCCATATCTGAGTAATGCTGCATTGGAGACTAAAGCTCCAACACATGAGCCAGATCCAGACCATAATGAAGATAATGATGGTATGGGAATGTACTTTATGGTCATGAAAATGATTTGGAATTAGATAGTGGTGATGATTGCATAACACTATGAATGTACAAAAGCCACTGAATTGTATGCTTTAAAAATTGATTCTTTGAAGGCTGCAGCAGGCATGGAACTCAGTGGTAGAGTACTTGCTTAACACATGTGGGACCTTAACTTAAATCTCCAGCACCAGACACATGACAAAAAGTAAAGTGGTTTAAATGGTGAATTTTATATGCTGTAAATTTTGCCTTGATTAAAATATTCATTAGGATAGGTTCAAGAGAGTATAGAGAGGACCTGGAGTTGGAGTCCTGAGGAAAAAAATATCACTTTGAAAAGTTAGTTAAAGGTTGTTGGGTCAATAATAAAGATTTTCTTAAGATGGATGAAATTTTGACCATTTGGGTATGGAAAGTAATTATCTTACAGAGAAAATGAACATGTGAATATAGATGAGAGAAAAGAAAATTGCTGGAATGAATCTTTCAATAGGCAAGAGGAGATGTAATTCTGTGCAGATGGAAAGAATGACCCCAAATGGAACATGAACTTCTGTCCAGCTACAGAAAAGGATTATGGGCAGCATTATGGAGACAGGCATGGAACCTGGGGAGATTTCTTCTGATTTTTCTCATTTTCCCAGTGAAATATACAGAAAAATGAAGAGCTGAGATTAATGATATGGTAGGAATCACTGGAATTTTAAGGAAGGATATTGAAATGAGTGAAGTGAACCCAAACCCCACATCTTCGGGGAATGAGAGGTGGTATGCCAAAGTCTGAGATGACTCCAACAAGCAGGTGCAGTGAGGGGAGCCATTTAATGTTAAGAGTCAAAACCTGGTATTTAGGAAGGTGAGAGCAAGAATTGTCTAGAATTATCAATAGGAGCAAGTAGGATGTCATGTCTACACTTATGTCCTTTTCAAGTTCACAACTCCAAAAGACAGGCACAATTTATTTAAAAGAGCATCAAAGAAGATAGCTGCAGGGCAGATCTACCTTCCAGTTACAGGACACCATCTATTATATTAGACACACAAACAATTGTAATAACAAGCACTTAGTTTCAAATTTAAGGTAGGTCCCTTACATTTGTGGAAACGCAGAAATTGTTGTTTAGGGCTTGCCTGATTACAATACAGAGACATGGAGATCTGATTACAATACAGAGACATCCAAATGCTTGTTTTATTCTCCGTGTGTGTGTGTGTGTGTGTGTGTGTGTGTGTGTGTGTGTAAAGTAAGGCTGCCTAAGGGATGATGATGCCATGCCTTAGAGGGGACTTGAGTGGAGAGTTCATGGTAGAATGAATGTTAACATTTTAAGAAACATGAGCTTTTCCAGGGTACCCACATCTCACGTCTTGCCATTCTTTAAATTTAACAGATGAAATTTTACCATGTCAAGAAACACTGAATGCCGAGCAGGAATCATGTCACCCAGATATGAGTCTCTGCAAATTTGATTCCACAGATGAAGAATTGAGAAGTAAGTGTTAAACTGAAATGCCCGTCTTGTAGGTGTTGACACAATTTATGAGATTCAGTGACTAGTCACAGGAATGTGCATCTGCTGGCCTTTGTTGACTTAATATCCTCGTTAAATCTTTACTCTATTTGAGTTGGTAATCTATTAAAACAGTGAAAAACACTAGTACATCTATTGAAGGTGATGTTTTATAGAATGATTCCATTGAAGACCATCTTGCAATTACATAATGTTTCTCCTTTAAAATTCCATTGTAAACTGGGTGCATTCGTGTGCCTGTAATCCCAGTGACTCAGTAGGCTGAGGCAGGAGGATGCAAAGTTCAAAGCCAGCCTCAGCAATTTAGCGAGGTCTTTGACAATTTAGTAAGACCCTGTCTCAAAATAAAACATTAAAAAAGGGGCTGGGGATGTGGCTCAGTGGTCAAGTGCCCCTGGGTTCAATTCCTAGTACAAAAAAAATATTTCCAATGTAATTATGAATAACATGTAATTTAAACTAATTCTATAAAGTTGGTAAGATCAAACATTATGTCATTTAAAAAAATAGAAACCAAAGTGGTGATAGAATAAAAACTAGGAGTGTCTTTTATTTTATGTGTATTGTTCTCATGGGAAAAGATGCTCGTCTGGATTAACTGAAGACCTCTGGTAAAATAGAGTTGCTTATCAAGACAAATTTCCAGATTGTGTGTATGTGGACCTCTGAGTTAATTAACCCATATAACCCTGGTTGAGCCATCACTCTAGTAAGCTATTATAGTCTGCTAAGATCTTCCTCTTCCCTCTGCAGTGTGTCAGCCCTGTGAGTTTGACTTTGACTTGTGTGACTGGACAGCAGAAGCATCTCCTGGGCAAATTTCTTGGATGCGCACAAAAGCCAGCGAGTTCACAGCAATAGAATCTGCATCTCAGCAGAACCTTACTAGCAATGATGAAGGTAGGAAATAAAATACAATGTATTTCATGTCTAAGTCTTAGAATTGTAACTAGTGATGAAACATTAAAGTGGGGTTTTGAGGATCATATTTTATTGAAAGTATATTATGCCATAGATATTGAAAGTGACAAAACAATCATATTTACAATGTTGTTAAATAAAAGTTATAATATATTAAATGTCTGAATTTGCAAATTTGTTATTTTCTTATTGTCAGGGGATACTGAGTTTTGTATGAACAAAAAGAAAAAAATATTAAGACTTTATTTATGGATTTTATTTATCTTCGGTATTGGGGATTGAATCCAGGGCTGCTTTATCCCTGAACTATATTCCTAATCCTTATTTTTATTTTGAGGCAGAGTCTTGCTAAGTTGCTAAGGGTCTCACAAAGTTGCTGAGGCTGGGTTTGAATTTGAGATCCTCTTGCCTCAGCCTTCAGAGTTGCTGAGATCAGTTGACTTTTACCAAGTCTCTATACAGGCTCTTTGTTCTGTCAATGAGTTTCTTATTAAAATTGGTACTTTTTGTTTACTTTTCTCCCTGTTGTCATTTTTTGGGGGGCGGGTGAGATGGGAATATGGTCATTTTTCTGATTTATTTTTTTCATCAATGGTTTGAAAATTTTATGTATGTTACCATTATGTCTATTCTTAATTTGAACACCTATCTTTAAGGTTAAATTTTATTAGCAAAACATAAAGTATTCAGTATATCTGTGTTTTTTTGAATATGATAAAAAAAACTTGACATGATTTAACTACTATTTTACCCTTTTCTGGTTTTGAGTTATAGTTTAGCATTTTCAGAAGAGTTTTCAGTCAACAAGTTAATTTTTTATGTTTATAATTATGACAACTGTGTATCTTATTGTTTCATTCCTTTATCAGTGCTTTTTATTTTTATGTATTATTTGGGGGCTGAGGATTAAACCCAGGGCCTCCTGCAGGTGGGCAAGTGCTCAGCCACTGAGCCACATCCCCAGGCTCTTACCATTGCTTTTCAAATTTCCTGTGGTCCCTCTTGGTTCTCTCTCTCTCTCTTTTTTTTTTTTTAAATTAATTGTTCTTTTACCAATAAAAGATCTGTGGTGATAAACTCCCTTAAGATTTATCAACTTAAAATGTTTTTAAATTGGTCTTACTCCCAGATAAAAAGTTATCTGTTCAGATAATTTTAGAATTAAACATATTTTCCTTCTAAGTACCTGTTGATTATCCCTCTCTATTCAAATAGCTACTTACTATAATTGAGAAGTCTGAGTTCATTTAATCTATTTGAATTTAATACAGATTTTTTACAATGTCTTTTTTGATGTTTGAAATTTTGACTGTGATTAGTGCAGGTGTTTTTTAAATTTTTTCCCAATGCTCATAACACATTATTTCATCACTTTAGGAAAGTGTTTGTTATTCTATTCAAGTGATTTTTACTGCTTTTCTTCTTTTCTTCTTCGGTTCCTATTAGATATACTAAAGAGGCACTTATAATTTATACTTCATAACTTCACTGCCCTTTTAAAATTTTTCTGTACTATTTAGTCTATTTTTAGTTATATTTTTAGTGCTGCTTCCTGAAACACTTTTTTTTTTCTGTAACTATGTTCAGTCTAGATTACATTCTTTTGGACATTTAATTTCTGTACTTTGTACATGCTTAATGATGCTCTTCTTGTTTTATTTCAGTTTTCCTTCTTCTATTTACTGTATTGTAGCTATCCATAATGGTGAGGTTCACTCTAGCATATTCATAATCCTGTACTTTTTATGGTAGTACAGGTACCTTATAAATACAAAATAATCCTAATTCCTCCCTCCCAACCCTTTTACTACTGCTACCATGCATTTCATTTATGCATAAAATACAATGATCAAAACATAATATTGCTATTATTCTCTTGACCAAATTATTATTTTAGGTCAATAAAAATAAAAAATTTTGCTTTATTCTTAATATTTCTTCTCTAATGCTATTTTTTCTTCTTGTAAATCCAATTTCTCACCTATATCATTTTCTTCTTCTCTGAAGAACTATTTTTATTTCTTGCAAAGCAAATTCCTTCATGTTTTAGAAAGTTTTATTTCTCCTTCATACTGCAGATGATTTCATAGGACTCAGAATTTTGGGTTGGTGATTTGGGGGGAGGGGTCTCAACAGTAAATATTTAACTCCATTCTAACCTTGTTTGTTTGATTTTTATAATTCATCTTTGCTCCTTTAGAGGTAAGATATACTTTTCCCTCTGGCTTCTATCAAAATACTTTCTTTTGTTTTTCTGCATTTTGAATATATGTGAAATTTCTTCTTTCTTTCTGTTTGTTTATTTCTAGCATTTATTCTACTTGGCATTTTCTGAGTTTCACACACACACAATTTTATATCTGTGTTTCAGTTTTGGAAGTTCTATTAGCATATCCTCAAGATCTGAGTCTTTCCTCACCTGTGATTAGTCTTCTAATGAATCCAGAAACACATTCTTCATTTATGTTACAGTTTTTGAGTCTAAATTTCCATCTCTTTGCCTACATTATCTTACCTTTTCTATCAGAATGTTAAGCATGTTAATCAGGGTTGTTTTAAATTCCCCATCTGAACCTTCCAATAGTCTTGCCATATTTGAGTCTGGTTCTGATGATTGCTTTCTTTTCAAATTGTGCTTTTGCATTTTGGTATACCTTGTAATGTTTTTGCCAAGAGTCAAATTTACAAAAAGTGGCAATTTATTGTGTGAAAGGTGTTGAGGTAAATATTGTGAGCTATTATTTTTATCTGGGTAGGTGTTTGCTTACTCTGCTGTAGCTATCAATATCTGAGGATGAATTTTGCCTTTCTTATTTTTTTCCTCTCTGTTGTCTTTGGGTTCCCTTGCAGACTTTCTACATAACATCTGAGACACATAGCTCTGTGACTGTATCCCCCCATTATTGTCCAAGAGCCTTACTGACATGGTGGTATGTTGTGAGGGGAAGGGGAATATTCCTGTGTCATGAATAGGCCTCCATCTTTCAGTGGGTATGAGTCCCTGTTGTATTACTTCAGAAATGCTTCTTAATACCACTCCCCTTGCCTTAACTTGAGGAGAAAGAAAAGCTAGAGGGAGCTGAATCTGGGAATTCTCCTTGCCCCTGTAGGAGGCTAGAATGGATTGGAGTTGGATATTTCCCTTGTCCCTAGTTAGTTAGACTTGGGTTAAACCCTTGTGATTTACATTGTAGTGAAATGGTTTCTCTTGAGTTCAGGGCTTGTTAAGAGAAAGAGAATAGTTGAGGAGCATTTCAAAATGGCTATTTTTCCTCTCTCTTGGATGCAAACCTGAGGGGACTTTTCTCTAATTTTCACTGTGTGGACATCACAGGACTCCTGGAGGTAAAATTCAGAACAGCGTTCCCTTGGGTTTTTAACTCCTCAGCTCATCCACACTAAGTTGTTCGGGTTTTTCCATAGAGCTTTGCTTTTAGCAGAGCTTTATACTCTGGGATTCTGCTTTAGAGAATTGTGATTCTCTGCATTCAAACGCCTCTCCGGCTACCAGGCTGTGGGTTTCATGGTGACCTCACTTTTTGGATGGATCTGTGAAGAACTGTTGATTTTCTGTTTGCACAGGATTTTTCTTGTTGAATGAATAAGACAGAGAACTTCCAAGCTCATTGCATGCTGGTCCCCAAACCAGAAATTTTGTAGGTTCCTTTTAACTGAGATTTGTACTTTTTCCATCCCCTCTATTCTTTCTATTTGCCTTTAAACCTTTCTATTTAGTGATTTTTTTAAAACATTACTTAGCTCCTCAAAACTTTATCTGAGTAACAGTACAAGTTTAGGGTTCCATACTTTATGATAATTCTTGGAGTTTTGCACATTTCTTTGATTAGAGTCCAGGATGGTGAATGTTTTGTGAACAGGCTTCCTTAGTCCTATTCTCTGGCTTCATTGAGCTCATCTCTCTTTTGTGACACTTTCATTGGTCAACTCCAAGCTACCACTTCTGATGCCAAAGTCTAAGAGTTCTGTGGCTTCATTTCTGTTCCTCACTTGGCATATCTGTTCTTTCTTCACCTTGTAAAATGTTTTGTCTCTTTTTGATCTCTGTTTTCTTTCTTTGTGTTTAAATCAGAGATCAGGTGTTAATTTACTGTAGCATTTTGATTAAAATCTAACATTTCTAGTAAGAGTTTTATTAAAGTTTATAGTTTTTAGAAACTGCAGGAATATTTATTAACTTACAAAGAAATGAAGCATTGCAGAATTTACTTCTGAAAAATAAAGAAACCATAGAAATTTCCTTGTACCTCCGCACAGCCAATATTATTGAGTTGAGAAAAAGTCTAAGTTAGTTTTCAATATCAAATGGGAAAAAATCAGTTGACAATATTTTTATGCACTATAAAACCTGCAGATGCAGATGTAGCTATCTGATACTTTCATGATGTTTGGTAAGAAAGAGATCATTTATATTGTTTTGTCTTAAACTACGAAGATGTTTTTAAACTTAAAAAGTAGAAAAATAATCAAAAGGGTAAAGAATTCTGAGAAAAGGAGAAATTCTTGAGACAGAAAGAACTCCTTTTGAAATTTAGAAGAATATGATAGTAATTTGATGGTATATCACAGATTTCTTTTAAAAGAATATTGAGGCAAGGGATAGTGACCCATGCCTAAAATCCCAGAGACATGGGAAGTTGAGGCAGGGGAATTGCAAGTTCAAAGTCAACCTCAGTAACTTAGGGTGGCCTTGAGCAAATTAGTGAGATTCTGTCTCAAAATAAAACAGGCTGGGGTGGGGTTCAGTGGTTAAGTGCACCTGGGCTTAATCCCTAGAACCAAAACAAACAAACAAATTTTAATAAAACAATGTTGAATTTCAATATTGAAGATACCATTCAATTTCGATTTTAAGAATTAGGAAATAGCTTAATACCTTTCAAAAAAACCACATGAAAATAAACACTTGTTATTTGTAGTTTATGTAATAAATTTTAAACATCTCATAATTTTAATCCTGGTTTTGAAATCTTAAGAAATACCATATTTTGTTTAGCAGAAAGCAGCTGTTTTCCTAAACTGTTTCTCTTCCCTCTGTTTTTTAGGTTACTTTGTGTGGGTTGGGGCCACACATGCTTTCCCTCTTAGCCATTTAGACAGCAGGGCTTTTTTAAACAGCTCTCTGTGTCACTGCTGGGGCAAGAGCTGCCACCTTCAATTCTCTTACTGCATGGAAAACGGTGTCCTGAGAGTGGGACTGTACCATAATGAGGTAAGAAGAAGCTAGTGCTGATTTCAAATTCATTGAATGAGGGGAATTTCTATTCTTGGCAACTTTTGCTTCTATTTCTCAGTTCTGTGTAGGCTGTAGGCTTTAAGTATGCTATGGCTTGACAATACTTTTAAAAAGAATGATTAAGATGCCAATTTACAGAGGACTATCATGTACAGTTAATGTGATAATTTTCAGGATACTATTTAATAAACTATTAAAATTCATGAAAGTCTAGTTAAGAAAATATAGTCTAATAAAAAGAGATATCTGGAATTCTATATTGTTAAGTGGGCACCAAAGCTCTGAGATGATCTGTTTTGGATTTTAGACTTATATATTATTAGAAGTATAAATATGATTAGAAATAGGCTATTTGTTTCGGTATAAGTAGATACATGTCCAAAGACTGATAACTACTGATTAAATACAGACTAATGAGTCACTTGGATTAAAAAAAAATGTTTCATTAAGTAGAGGGATGGTAGAAAGTATTATACTAATGTATAAACCAATTTAGGCTCTTTTAACCTAACTTTAACTGGAAGCAGTTCCCTACGAGTGTGAAAATACATGGAACACTTGGAGAAATTCTATTGCAAGAATAATGAATTTATAGAGGAGAATAAATAGCAGTCATTCTACAAATGGGAAGCATCTGAGAATAATTGCAGGATTTTTGACTGTGGAAGAAAGGAAGACAGGAAGAGCATCCAAGTGAGTTTCCTCTGGCTTAGGTCACTTGGAGTTAATGCAATTGAAACTTCCACATCAGCCAGATTCGCTTTTCAACAAAAGTTCATTCAACATCTGTGCTCATCTGATGACACTAACAACCTGTTAGTAGAATTTTCTTCTGGTCTCTTTTGTTCTGAAGTTTGGCATGTCATCGTGATTAATCCTCAAGTATCCAAATGCTTATTGGTAAAATATTTGAACCTTCAGTAGGGATGCCTTTCTTTGCCTCTTCTTCTGCTGTTTGTACCATTTCCATGATATCAGTGGTTTTTTCTTCTGCATCTTCAGGGATACTCATGGAGAATTAAGGCATAAAGTTAAACCAGAAAGTCTTTTTTTTTCAATATTTATTTTTTAGTTGTAGTTGGACACAATATTTTAATTATTTATTTATTTTTATGTGGTGCTGAGGATTGAACCTAGGGCCTCTGTCTGTGTTAGCTGAGCATTCTACCACTAAGCCACAATCCCAGCCCTAAACCAGCAGCCTTATTAGATAGTACAATACATTTGCTATGGAACACAATGGCTGGCATTCTGTGTATGGTATGACATTTCTAAAGTAGTAGTTGACAAACAATCGTCATACATCTATTGGATCCATTTCAGTCAATTAGGCCAGGTATGTGGGGAGGGAATGGAAGGGGACAGCATCTACATACCCTTTTTGAAGCACTACGGACTTTTCATATAAACAGGAATAATTTTATGAAAAATTAAACAATCCACCAAAAAGCCACAAATTAAACTTTATCTGGATATGTTAACATTCATGCCTCAACAATCTTTCAGATATTGTTATCTTTGCCATGTAAACCAGGCATAGTGAAATATCATCTAAATTGTAACCTTCTATAATTTCTAATTTAGTCCTTCAACAAAGACATGGTGAAATTTTTAGAATAATTCTGTAGAGTTTTAATTATAGTTAAATATGCATTAAAAATATATGATACTACTTTTCACAAGACAAGTAATTAATATTCACTTACACACCAAATGAATTATTACCCCAAATTTAAGTCAAAATTTCAATCATATGTTCTAATTTGGAGAATTTTAATCAAATCTGAACATTAATGATGGATATTTAATATTTTAATATATGTATGTAATAGAGTTATGAATTATTAAAAATGAGCAATATTATTCTTCTGGTGGCTTTGGGGCTGTCCAAGAAAAGACTGAAAACAAATTGTCTTCAGATGCCATATCATATAAGAATAGAGTTACCAAGATTTTGTGCCTCACGGAGTAAGAAAAGAAATCCAAATGGTAGATCTGATCTAGTGTGTTAACCAGAAACAACTGGGTGTACACTTAGAATATTGATTCAGAGTGGGCTCATTGGATACCCAGTGTTCTACAAGACATCCTATCTTCTGATGCCCTATTTGCTGTCCTGTACATACATAACATGTCAGTTACTGATGCAAAATATATAGGAAAGTACATTTAAGTCACAGTAGATGTTTTTATCACATACTTCAAAAAGTCTCCAAAGAGATCATTTAAAAAATCTATTTTTGAAAATTACATCTTCTTCACTCTGAGTATCTGTAAATAAGTGTAGGTGTATGCACATGAATCAGGATGGATATAATGAGATTTCTTAAGGTTATTTTTACTATTTTCAGAGGAGAAGGTGGGAAGCAGGAAGTAAAGGTGACGGCACTTTGTTAGGTAGAGTTTACTGTTTTGGAGTCTGTTAAAGTGTACAGCACTTCTAGTTTGTATTACCTAGCTATTCTGGCATTAGTTCTCTATTCATCATTTATAAAGTAATAACCATAGCAATAACCTAGCCTCTTTCTTGAGGAGAATTTCCAGGCCAATGAGCTATGGATAGTGGAGTAACCAGTTTGTGGTACCATTTACACTGCCAAAGAGGATGAATGTGGATTAAAATGAAGAGAAAATGCCTAAGAATGTTTTTTTTTTCTTTCTTGCATTATACACTTTTAAAGCCAAAATGAGTTCTCTTTGAAAGAAGATCTTTGCCAAATTATGTGGTTCTGTCATGGATGCAATCAAAAATAGTCAAATAAATAAAAACTAACAACTTTGAATTTGGTAGCTTTGATTTCTTCAGGGGAAGAGAGAAAAATAAGCTGATATCTCTGAAAGATGTGGTAATAAAAGTTTTTTCTTGAAAGGTTAATTGGCATTATTGATCCTGGTCTGGGGTAGCAAAGATAGTTTCTTAAAGTTTGTTATAGATTGATTGATTTTAAGATAATAGAAAATTAGAAAAGCCTTGAGAAGCTTTTGGAGGCTGAAAATTACTTTTTTTGTATAATGACTCCTATTAAAAATAACTACATGGTCGGAGAAAAAGAACAGAGATAAAATAAAAGCTGCCTTCCTTTAGTTAGAAGAAACTGTCTTTATTTATCATTGCTTGTGTTGTCAGACAGGAGAACGTGTGTGTGTGTGTGTGTGTGTGTGTGTGTGTGTGTGTGAGAGAGAGAGAGAGAGAGAGAGAGAGAGAGAGAGAGAGAGAGAGAGAGATGATCTGGATCTCACTCATAATACACCCTTAACTTAGTACATGAACAGCAAGTTTGGAAATAACTCTGCTCACTTAAAAATCAAAAAGTAAATCCACATTCACTTTCAGGTAGAACAGAGGGAACTCAGCATTGTGAAGTAAAATATCAGAATTGCTCTGTATTATTTTTGTAAAACAAAAGTTGGGGGAACTGCTGAACAGTTTGCCAAACAGTGTTGCTAACAGCATCATGGAGGGTATAGCATATTGATGCTAAATAACTGAAGTTATGTAGGAAATTATTGAAAAGAATTTGGTTATATGTCTCAACATTTTTAAACCAATTCATCCTGATAGGACATAGAAACTATCAGCTGAAAATACATCTAGCTCTTGTGCTTTGCTGTTCTTTGGAAGTTTGAGCAGTTGATACGAATGAGTAATGACATAAAGTGAATTTCAGTGGACTTAGACTATCTTATGAAATATTGACGACTTGAAACTTTGGAATATGCATCAGAGAGTGTGGGACTACTTAGTAAAAAATTAATTTTTAGAAAAACTTGGATATGACTAAAATAAGTGAAGCCGAGCAAGGAGGTAAACACAAGAATTTGAAAAAAAGAAATGTCATGTGTTATTAGAATTATGACTGGATGACATCTTCCAGATTGTTTTTTTATTTTACACTAGAAGGTAAACAAGGCCAGTCTCAGAGCTCATTCTAAAATATATATGTGTCATTCTTCATGTTTTTACAATACTGATACATTAAAAAAATAAATGTACCCTATTGGTCTATCTTTTCCAAGAAAATATCAAATTAAGAATGCTTGCTAAAAATCTGAAGAAAAGCCAAATTATTTCAGAGCATAAAAGCATGGTCAATAAACTCTAGAGTCCAAAACTATGAGCACAATTATGGAGCATCTTATGGACTTTGGTTGAGTGTCTTACTTCAAAGTATGCAGTAAAATTTTATACATTTGACAACCTAAAAAAATGATCATTATATGGTACACAACATGGAATATTCTAAAAGTGGTAAAAAGACCTTTGATGGAATGACAGAAAGAGTGAACTTAGGAACACAATCTCCAAAAAATAATTGAAGTTTGAAACTTCAATTCTCCCATTGAAAAAAAAATTAATGGAAAAGATGCAAAAATTCATCTAAACACTATTTATTAACCTTTACATTAAATGTTTGCCTGTTCTTTCTTTCCTTTCTGCTATCATGAAAATATTGGAACATGTAATTATGACATTGAAATCAAAATTTAAGCTGCTGCTATTATCAATTGCTATTTAGAATTTTATTTTTGAAGTGCAGTTACTTTATTTCTTTTGACATTTTATTTGAATTTTTTTCTGTGTTGATGCTCTTGAATGAAAAAAGCAGCTTTGCTATCTAGACATACATTAATTTCTGTTTTTTTAAAATTTTATTTCACTTATTCCTTCTTACCACCAATATTTTAGATTTCCTAGTACCTAACTAAAATGTAATGAAGAGAGCACATACATGAATGTGAAGCTAGAATTTGGAAAGTGACTAATGTATTTTTCTTCAAATGAAAGGAAGAAGAAATATTTTGGATGTCCAATACATCAACTCACAGCAAATGGGTGAAAGTAGATGTGCTAATACCGGAAGGTCTGAAGACATTTAAGGTATCATAGGAAATAAACAACAAAAAAATTACCATAAGTTTAACTTTTATCTTTACAGTAGTGAATTTAATCATCCATTGCTAAATTTAAATTAGTATTTAAATTAGAAATGTAGACTTGTGTATCTGGGGACAGTAATTTCATTCTTCTTTTCATTGTACCTGGTCCTTAGCAGGTCAAATTTCCCTTGAGAAGAGGAAGTAAGGGTCTGTCTACTCTTGATCAAAGCTTGCTCATTCTCTGTGAATTTCCCTACCTCCTGCCCCCAGCTCCATGCATTGCACTCAGAAAACCATCTTATATTATGAAACAGATAAATAGTCAAGTGGTATTGAAAATCAGTGGAGTTATATGCACATGTATTGAATATATTAGCTCATAGGTTTACAATGCATGGATGATTGTCTATACCAAGATATATTTGCAATATACATGTACTCAATGAGAGACTGGTGAATAGTCCCTTGAACAGTTAATTTGTGCTGGATTTGAGTATAAAATAATCAGACTGTATAGCTTAATAAGCCAATTTCACTTCTTTATAGTAGTACCACATTCATATATTTCCTATGTTGTTAAAGGGATGCATTCCCAAAACACTGAGATTTTTACTATGTAGACTTTTAAAATCCCATGTGTGAAGTAGTAATTTCTGAATCATAGCATATTTGTAGCCATTTTAAACTTGAGGTTCATATCATTTTCTATGAAGTTAATGTTTTGATACCATTTACATTTTTTATAATCTGATACTTCATCTTTATAATTTCTAGAAGAGGGACTCAATGAATTTCATTTCTTTTCCACAAACTGGGAAAAGATTAAAGTTTGTCTTGTTATTTGAATCAAAGTAAAAGAAAGTAAAATGAAAGGAAAATAAATTGGAGAGTTATTATAGGTTTCTAAATGCATATGAAATGTGCTTTTCAATAATGGCAGATTTTGAGACCTACATTTAATCTCAACAAGTTTTGAAAACACAAATTTTATTACTTGTGCTTATCTGATCTCTTGCTACTGTGATAATGCCCAGTTGTCAATCCAATAATAAATAAATAATACATATATGATCTATGTACATATTTTATATATAAATGATACTGATTGTGAAAAAAATACACCATACAAAAACTTGACACTATACAAACTTTTCTTAATGATTAAACATTATTGAAATGCAACATTATCTTCTAAGTAAATGTTTGCAAATTAAATCAATCTAAAATAATTCTTAAATATATATCCCTCATGTTTTTCTATGCAAGATTGATTTTTATATTCTTTAAAATTGTCTTTTTTATATTGCCTCCCTTTCCATTTTTTTGACATTTCTCTTCATGAATTTAAATACTAACTTTAGTAGTTAAAAACCAGACTTATAGCTCTTTGTGTACAGGTAATGACAGTGCTTTTATTTTCCTTGAAAATGAAATGAAAGAGAGACCTGTAAAGATGGTTCCCAAGTAACAAATTTGCAAGTCAAGAACATTTAGAAGGTTAAATGAGATGCCAAATTTATCTGATCCTAGGTGGTTTTTCAGAGGCCTCAGTAGGGCAAATATGCCCAAAAGTCTTAAGAGTATGGGTTAAATTTATCAAATTGGAACCTTGTTCTCATTTGCATTTGGTTGCTCTTTAAACAGGTTCTTTTCTCAGTTACTGTGTCATCTTTTTGATCCCTTTTTAGTTTTTTTTTATTTTAAAAGAGATTATAAATTCATAAATTGATTATTCTCCCATACAGATAGTTTTTGAAGGTGTTCTTTTGAGCCAGAGAAGTTTTATTGGGCTTGACCGGTTGTGGGTCTATGCCTGTGGAGAGACCCTCTCCAGAAAGCTTTGTTCTGCAGAGGAATTCACCTGTGCCAGTGGCCAGTGCATTGCCCAAGATTCAGTCTGTGACTCCAGACAGGACTGCTCTGATGGGACTGATGAAGACCCAACAACTTGCTGTAAGTCAACTAATAGTTTGCTTGTTGACCAGCTTTATTTCACAGCTGTTGGATTTCACAACTTGTTTGTTTCAATCAAGGTAAAGTCAATTTCTGTGACATAAAATGACTGTGCGTTTTCACTCTGAAACTATTATCAGTATTCCTTTGGTGTTCTGTGTGTTTATGTTTTAGTGCTTATTGCTAAAGTTGCGGAATCTTTCTATTTGTTGAAAAAATAGATACGATTAATGTTGTGTCATTGTGTATGTGTGGTGCACATGTACTTTGGTTAAAGAAAAAGATGGATGTGAGAGGGAACCTCTTTGTACTTTCCCTTTAGAGACACAAATTATGTGTTTTGTTAAATGTTTTCTTTCTTACTTTCTGAACCTCTTGGATGCAGAAGAGAAGGAGAATGAAGAGAAGGGCTATCATTGCCTCCAGGGCAGCCACCGTTGGCGATCATGAGGGCAAAACTAGACCAACACCTTCCTTTCAGGCCTCTTATGAAGAATCTTTGATAGGAAGGATAATGAGAGATCCCATTACTATTCAAACCCAGTCATATTTCAAATAAAATGAAATTTAATTTACAACCCACGTGAAGTTTCTCATATGAGGTAACTTAGCAACTAAGATTCTTGTGTCTTTTTAGCAACCATGAATTCCAACAAAATGAATCTATTTTCTAGGCCACAAATAAGGTTTTTTTTTTTAAAATATGTATTAAAATTTTGACATTTATTTTGCTGCAGCACCTTATTTTAGTGAGATATTTTGTTGATCAGGAAGAAATATTGCAGTAAGATAAGTGTCACCTTTATAATGAAAAGATCATCGTTGTACTGCACACTTCTCCTGGTGGGGGAGTAAGGATTTCATTAAGAGCAATGAAGAGGGACATTGGGAGGAGATGTTGGGAAAACAAGGGAGAAATCCTTCTGGCCTACCTGTAATCAGCAATTCAATTTATTCTTCAAACACCTCACTTATTAAGCCAAATAAACTCTTGACCAATGTGATTTCAGTGGAGTTTTTAGGTTAGTTTTCTTCTTTCATTGAAAAAGAATAAAGTGAGGAGCATTTATTTCTCTAATGTATGCAATATTCCTTTCTATTCTTTATTTAAAAATTTAAAGAGACAATTTGGTTCATTTCTGTTGAGGAAATTCATCTTTTTGACAGCTTCTTGATTGAAACAGCTGAAAAACGACATATTTCTTTGCAATTATGCATTTGGAAACTTAACTTCTTTCCTTCCATTTTTTTCCCTGTAGTAAATAGTTCTATGTTCTCTTCCTTTTGCAGGTTTTCTTAATAAAATTCCTGTCTGGAGTATTAGTTGATTTTTAGCATTGATTTTGTCATAGTGTCTAACTTCTCTTCCATTATTGAAGTTTCATTGACTGCTAAACTGGCATTTTTTTCACTACAGTAGATCTCAATACTATTCTGCTATATCCTTGAGTGAATGCAGGACAGATGGCTATGTTTTTCAACAGAATTTCACTTGGTCTTTTAAGTGTTCCCAATAATGTCACCTCTCAGTTGTTCAATGAAAACTTCTCACATTTGCTTGGTTGAGTCAACTCGATATAGAGGATATGACATAAAAATAAAGTCTTATTACATATATTATATGTGGATGTATTCACATATCTTGATGCCAAAATGAATATTTCATATAAATGTTTGTGCAATTACTATTGCTCTGGGGAAACTGCATAGAATTCAGTTATTCAAATTGATCTAAATACATACTTTTTGTACTAATATATTTAATGTGCATATGCATATACACATATATATTCATATAGAGTCTTCCAAAATGAGAACCTTCAATTTAAAATACTGTGACATATTTTAAACACATTTCTAATTTTTTTTAAATCTCAATGTGCCTGGAGCACAAACAAAATGCCTTCAGTCTTTCTTTTTATTTCACTCAGAGTGAATCTCTAGGATGGTATAGCTCAAATACACTGCTAAGGGGCTTCAGGAATATTTTCCACAGGTTGGGGACTGAAATAGTAAACTTGTGAAGATTGTCAGTTGGTGCTCTGTCACCAGTGTGTGTTTCCTGAACGACACACTCACTCAGTTTCTCTTTCAGTCCCAAGCTGTCCTTACATTCCGGGACTATTTTGATAAATCTACTTACTGAGCCTCTAGCTCAGTGGCATTTCAACAACAGGCAAATGAAAGGGTGGCAGGGTTTGCTGGTGTTTTGCTGCTTTCCTGTACTACATGGATTCCAGCAGCAGCAGCAGCAGTAGCAGCATCTGGGAACTGGTTCAAAAAGACAGAACCTCAGGCTTTAACACAACCCTCTAGATTGAAAGTCTGCATTGCAACGGTGTCCCAGGTGATGCATTTGGATGTTAAACTTTGAGAACCATTGTGCCAAAGAGGCTTTGAAAATTAGGACAGTTGAGGGAAGAAACAGATGGCATGTAAAAACATTCACATAGAAACTGAAGGCAAACTAGTCCAAAGGCTCTCAAGACAGAAGCCTAAACTCATGACTTCACCAGTCCCCAAGAGCATCACTGGAATACCAAACAATAGATTTCTAACTTTTATTAGCAGGATCCTGCATAAAAAGAAGACAGTGAAGATTCAAATATATCTGCACCCCATGTTCACTGCAACCTCACTCACCATAGTCAAGAGATGGAAACAACTTCATCCTCTTGATGGATGACTATGAATCAAAAAGTGAGCTGTGTATGAATTTTATTCATTAATAAAGAGAAGGAAATCCTACTATGTGCAACAACAAGGATGAATCTGGAGGACATTATGTTACGTGAAATGAGGCAGAGGAAGATAAAAACAGATGATAGTATTTATATATGCATCTCAAAAAAAATTCAAACTCAGAAACAAAGTCCAACAGTTGTTGCTGGATGCTAAGGGTTGGGGAAACAGGAAGATGTTGGTCAAAGGTACTAAATTTCAGGAATAGGTGTAACAAGTTCTGCAGATCTGATGTACAGAATGGTGGTATAGTTCATGATACTCTTGTAAACTTGACATTTGCTCAGAGAGCAGATCTTAGTATTCTCACCACATGTGTGTATTGTACGCACACATACACACTCAAATGGCACCTGTGAAAGCTGATAGATGTATTAGCTAACTTGATTATGGTAAATAGTGCACTATATGTACACACATATATAAACATAGTATATATCCTAAATATATACAGACTGTCAATTATACATCAATGAGCTTGGGAAAAATAAAATATATGTAATGCTTAAAAACATTCCTATCAGTATAATTAAAATATAGCATGTGCCAAACAAAGTAAAGGTCTACAGCAGATAAAAAATTCACACATGAACTAGATCTAATTTTCAAACACATAGTACAACATCGATGAACCTTGAATATATTATGCTAAGTGAAATAACTCAGACAGAGAAGGGAAAACAGGGTATGATCCTGTTTTTATGAGAAACCTAAACTAGAAAGCTTCACAAAGATAGGAGATAGGATGGTGGTTGTTGAGCTGAGAGAAAGGAATACTGAAGTTGGGGTTAAATGGGTGTGGAGTTCCGGTTTGAGGAGATAAGAGTTCTAGAGATGGATGATGGGGATGGTTTCTCAGCCATGGGAACATACTTAATGCTACAGAACTTTGCACTTAAAATTATTCACAATAGCTAGACTGTGGAACCAACCCAGATGCCCTTCAATAGATGAATGGATTTAAAAAATATGGCATTTATACACCATGGAGTATTACGCAGCACTAAAAAAATGACAAAATCATAGAATTTGCAGGGAAATGGATGGCACTAGAGCAGATTATGCTAAGTGAAGCTAGCCAATCCCTAAAAAACAAATGCCAAATGTCTTCTTTGATATAATGAGAGCAACTAAGAACAGAGCAGGGAGGAAGAGCAGGAGGATAAGATTAACATTAAATAGAGACATGAGGTGGGAGGGAAAGGGAGAGAAAAGGGAAATTGCATGGAAATGGAAGGAGACCCTCATTGTTATACAAAATTACATATAAGAGGTTGTGAGGGGAATGGGAAAATAAACAAGGAGAGAAATGAATTACAGTAGATGGGGTAGAGAGAGAATATGGGAGGGGAGGGGATGGGGGATAGTTGAGGATAGGAAAGGTAGCAGAATACAATAGTCACTAATATGGAATTATGTAAAATGTGGATGTGTAACCAATGTGATTCTGCAATCTGTATTTGGGGTAAAAATGGGAGTTCATAACCCACTTGAATCTAATGTATGAAATATGATATGTCAAGAGCTTTGTAATGTTTTGAACAACCAATAAAAAATTATTTAAAAAGAAAAATTTTCTCATACACACACATATATATGTACATATGTATATATACAAACACTAATTTTCAATAATGATACATGGAAAAGATTATTTATTAAATTCTTATCCACCATAATCCAAAAAAAAGAGATGGAATTTAATATTTAATGATCTGTGTTGAAGCCAAAATGACTTGGGAAATTCTGTGGGAAATGGCTTTTTTTTAAGGTAGAACTTTCAGATAATTTAAAAGCTAGTATTAATTATAAATCTTCACAAAGGAAATTGGCATAATATTCAGGTAAAAGAAATGCAAACCCAGGGCACTATACAATGCATTTGATTTTTACTATAATATTATCACTAGAAATCTTTCACATTTAGGAAAACTAATTGTTGAATACTAAAATATTTCCTGAGGGCAAGGAAAAGACTGTATTCATCTATATAGTTTAGTGTATCAATGACCCTTGTGAGTTTTCAATAAATATTCACAAAATATTTATTATTATATTTATTGAAACCTAATACATGCTCACCAAATGAGATGTTCCTCATTCTTTTATCATAGAGAACTGAACTGGAGGTTTCTTAAATACTTTATATTGTATGATCCGAAATTTTTCTCAGCTGCTACAATGAAATTCTTTTTCTTGTGCCCATATGCTACCATGGTTAAATATGTAAGAGAGAGCTCTCTCTGAATCTGAAAACA